TGTCGTGATTGCTTTCAAAGAAGATGGAAACGGAACTTTATAAAGAACTTGGAAGCTAACGCTGTTACAGCAAAATTTTAGTGACTGATCAAATCATCGAATCACCATATTCCCTCAGTTATTTAATTTCCGAATCGTAAAATGTGAAAAATCTGTCTGTATTCGAACAGTCACATGCACCTTTCGAAAGAATGCATTATGTGTGTTGTGCGGAACATTTTGGAACATTAGCACTGTAATGATCGAACTGTGAATTTTTATGCAATGAAACATTTGAAAATGAAAAAATACGGGGAATGGACAGAACATGCAAAAATATATAAAATATCGAAAATAGATCACTTGTTATAATATTTAGTGGCAAGAATAAATCTTTGCTTAGGCTCCATTTTTTAAATTGTGTTCATAAATATAGGAAAATCTAGTCTAATAATAATAATCCACTATGATAATAATGGTTGTAAAGTTTGAAATCTATCTTAGAATGTACAGAGAAACTAGAAGATAGTACAAATATTTAAACAGCTAATATTATGTTATATTTATTAAAACTTTAAACAAGTATTCATTGAAAATTTAACACTTATTATGTGTTCAGGATTACTGCTTAATTATGTATATATATATGTGAATGTGAATTTCTATTATATGAACTCCAATTTACATTATTACATTTACAATGTAACTTCCATGTGCATTTTCTAATTGGTTTCAAATTTTATCAACATAATCATGATAGTGCTAATGATGTTCCAAAATATTTTATATAGTATCTACAACATATACAGTGAGCTTGATTACCATGATCATTTATTGTTGATTTTTAATAATAATAATTTTTAATAATAATGTTCTGTGAGGTCTTGATTATACTCAAAATTGTTGTATACCCTTTACTTAATTCAGATTAATAATAAAGTTCAGAAAATATAAATACAATAATATTATAATTTAAGAATAGATTGTAAATACGAAACTGGAAAAAATGCAATGTAGATCTCACTGAACATTATTATTATTTAAAAAGAAAATTTTCCAATCGGTTCATTAATTACAAAATAATTCAATATGATCACTAGAACTGCAGATTTTTATTCATTTATGTAAAATTTGGAAATTCATACAGTATATAAAAATATATAAAATATCGAAAGTATCAAAATCGAGAAAATAAATTTCTGTTTAAATCCTATTTTTCGGACTATGTTTATAAAAATATGAAGATCCGCAATTCAGTGGATTCCATCATCACATTAGATGTACGAACGTATTTAAATCCTTCCCTTAAAGGTCTAGTCATTTCTTCGACCTTGCAACGACGAACAAAACGATGAGACACCGATGCCTTAATGGTACAATAACTCGTTAACGATTCATAAATGTTTGGAGAAATCGCTGACGTTAATCGCGAATATGTTTGCTTATCATGAACGCTACATGTGGCACGTCAACGCTCTCAATAAAAATTGTACATTACTTTACATTAATTTATATTATGTGTACATACATGCAAACGGGAGAAATGTATATAAATGTACTGTCAAAAATAAAAGACTTTATTATCTTGCACGTGTGCGATTTCATTCATACTTGTACAATAATACAAGCACACAGAGGAATCACATGATATAAAATTTCACTGTCTTCGTAAAAAACGTTGCGTGGAGAGATAAAGTTTTATCGAATTCTAAGCTTTACAAACTATTGTCTTTTTGTCGTGGAATTCAGACAAACCTGTACAACGCTTTGATACACAGGATGAATTACCCAGCTTGTTCACCCTAAATAATTTCAAAAATACATGTTCTACAATTGTTTTATATAAAAATAGTATATAGAAGTTAAGGAGAATCACTTTGAGCAATTATTGTTGAATAAGGCCAGTGAGACAAGATTTTCCAAATGTCGTGCTAGTTATTAGATTTAATTTATTGAGAGACAATGTTGCATTAACGCAACATTTCATTTGTACCTTTACTCTTCAGTCAATTTACTTGTATATATTTTTATATTACAATTTATATTACCAAAATCTCTTTTCTTAATATTAGAGATATGAAAGAAGGAAATTCCAAAGATTTGCTTAATATCTTTCATCTAAATTCTATAGAATTTTAATCCAGATTATTTAGTATAATATCGTAGAATTTAATTTTTCGTCTATATCTTATAATTTTAGAGAAATTTATAATACTGTAACATGTATCATTTGATCCTCAATCGGTCAAGACAAATTAAATTAATATTTAATTATATGTATTTGCTTTAAGAAATTCAAGCCTTGTAAATGTATTTAAAAAATTGTTTGAGCACGCAATTTTCATATTGTTTTATCGAACACATATTTTAAGAAATATTTGAACAAGTGTGTCTTGTTTTATACACGTGTATGTTATGTATACAGTCACAATCAAAAAGAAGTTTAAGAAGTGAAAAAAATTGAATTATAATTGACAACAAAAGAAATGAATGTAATCATATAATTGTACGTCCTGGAATAAACGTCTTTTTAACAAACGCCATTTTAAGAAACACCTTTCCTATTTCATTGTTTTTTTTATAAACATTGATAAATTTTTATGAAATACTATTCTATTTTTTATATACCTTGAAGGATTAATTGAGAATTTTTAGTACAAATTTTATCCGCCACTGGATATGTTCTCTAGCTTTGTACCTGCGTTCAAAATATGAAACTATTGGTCAATGATAAAAAAAAAAAAAAAAAAAAAGAAAAAAGAAAAGAAAAGAAGAACAGTATTATGCGAATCACAGTCTAATTGAAAATGCGATCGGGAACGTCTCGTTTTCTTTTTCACACGTCATTACTTGTTCTGGTCATTACTTGGTTCTGAAAATCCAGTTGATCTTGACCGAGTAAATCAACATGGTTTTCATGCTAGAATGTGTCATGCACGACCAAGAACCATTGCTAACAGAGCCATTCGAACGTAGACGCCATTCTCAGCTTGCCGGAAGTAAGCTGCACGTGGATCCATATCGAATTCTGTACTGATCTCGTTCACTCGTGGTAAGGGATGCATCACGACCATCTTCCTCTTAGCGCGTGACATCAACTGCGGTGTTATTACGAAATGTCCACAAACCTGCGGATATATGATAAAATTCGACACGTGTGTCTTTAATCTGTTAACTAAATTATGTTTAAAATTAAAGGATGACGAACATATCCTGTAAAATCAAAATGCTATATAAAATTGATTATATTACAATGATATAATAATGTGCTTTTTTAAGAACTAATGACATTGTTCGAATTCATTTGACGAAGTTCTTGAGAGGATTTTGTTTTATACAAAAATTTACTCAAAACATTGATTAGATTCTATTAGATACCTAGAATTTTTTTAGTCACAACTTAAACGACTTGAATTCAAACGATACTTTTCCGATAACCTTGTATAAATGTTAGAACTAAGGAACTATCCATAGATTTGCGCAAGAGAATTAATCTTGTCATTGCTCCATTATCTTTTTCTTTCTAACAAGTTTGTCACGATATCAGAGCCTTGGTTTAGATCGTGTCTACATCATGAAATAATTGCTCGTATAATAATACGCGAATTTAATCTTAATACGCAGCTTCAAGTTCAATCATAAATTCATAATAGAGACTATTTTATATGGAGATACACTATAGGTGAAGATGTGATTGTAAAGTTAATGTGATGTTAAAGTTTCGACTGCCAAAAGTGGAATCTTGATTACCTCAATTAATCAGAATGTATGCTGTTCGAATAATTAAATAATCTCGGTTTTACAAACACAATGGTGGATCTTGATTATGGTAGAATCTTGATTATTCAATTAATCGAAATAATTTTCTTTTATATGAGATAAGTATTTTTATATTAAAGATCAATAATAGCTGTTTAACCAAAGTGTAAATTACAATTTTATAACAATCTTTCTTTCATTAATCTCTAAATTGTTTCCATTAATTCTTCCATTCATCTCTAAATTCTTAGGTTGTTCGTCTTTTATTTCTAGATTTCTAATTTTTTCATTTCGAAATTAATTCGTTTTCTAAATATTCATGTTAAACAATCATATTAAAAGCTAAGAATTTTGTTTAATTCTCTTTATTTCACAATCTTTCTTGCAATCTCTAGGTATTGAAATTTTTCATCTTTTATCTCTAGAATCTTTGAATTTTTTATAAATTTCTGAATCATGTTCCGATAATAAATCGTTTTGTTAATCTGTGTTCTGATAATCGACATTCTACTGGAATTGAACACATTATTAACGAAGATCATGGATTATTTTCATTTTAATCTTTAACAAGTATTGACAAATTTTTGGACTTGATCTGATCATCTGACTTCAATGAAGTATCATAATACTGAATTTAATGTTTAATAATAAGTTAGTTAAGTGTAATATTTAATAGGTAATTTGTATATAATTATTATAATCCAGAATTTAAAATGTTTCCATAAAATGTGCTAAAACGTAAAATATACCATTTTGAATCAGATTAAATAATATTATTAAAGGCTAAATTAAATATTAAATATTAATTTTTAAATAATTTTTGCAATCCAAATTGTCTCTATAAAACTAATCTATTAAATACTTTATAAATGTATGTCTGTCTACGTACTGGATTAGGTTACACCTTCGTAATCTATCAAGAATAAATGTTACATTAATGCAACATTCTATTTTCAATTTTTTTTCCCAATTAATTTACATATAAATTCTACTTTCTAATGATGGCCACGAAAAAGAATCTCAAATATTCGATCAATATCCTATCCTTTCTATCCTGCTGTTTTATGAAGTTTGAAGAAGTCGAGATATTTATAAGAATACTTTTTTAAGGCATGCAAAATTTTATAATTTTATAATCTAGACTGTGGATATCTCTGCAATTTTATACCTCTAGGAACTGCACTAAAGAATTTAAAATTTGTTTTGTACATTGAATATAATAGTATTATTATATACTTATAATAATATCTTAATTAATACTCTATTTGTTTAACTTGTTTTCACACTCTCTCTACACATTTTTGCATTTTTTTTTTAATTTACCAAAAAAAAAA